TCCTAGGCTCTTGGGTGGCGCGCCCCGCTCTTCACAGCGAACCTGGTTTTTGGGCTTGCGCTTCTCGCGCCGAGCTCGACGAGAGTGACGAGAATGCCTGCGCGCGGTGGTCGCTGGCGCCTGCCGACCCTGCTGTGCCTGGCGCCGCTGCTGCTCGCTCCGGCGGATGCGCTCGCGGCCGGCGGCTGGTCGAGCCGTCCCGCTCGCGCCGCGCTGCGCACGCGGATGCTTCGGGCGAGCGAGCCTGCCGGCGGAGAGCCGGGCCCAGGGGCTGCTGCTGGCGGTGCGGCGAGCGATGCGGACGCGGGGATGGGGCTGGTCGGGCGAGAGGCGCCCGACTTGGAGGGGCTCGACTTCGAGGCGCGGCTGCAGGTGCTCGCCAAGCAGTACGAGAATGTGGTGCCGGTGGACCCAAAGGTGCAGGAGGAGGAGGACAAGCTCGCGCCGGCGCGCGAGTGGGACGACGACGAGAAGTTCTGGAAGCCCGACTTTTGGACGGCCGTCTTCGAGGACGTCAAGGACGTCGAGTACCCTTCCATCAAGAAGGTGACGCAGACGCTCTTCATCTCGCAGGCGTGCACGCCTCCCACGCCCATGCGCCCACCCCCGGGGACGCGGTGGCGCTGGGTGCCGCGCCCTCGCCGCGACGTCTCGCCCACCCGCGCGCGGCGTGGCGGGCGCAGGTCGCCTTTGTGGTTGTGATTGTGCTGGTGCTCGTCTTTGACGCCCTCGCCGACGCCACCATCCGGTCAGTGCTGCTGGGCGACGACTTCTCCATCACGATGGACAAAATCCTGAAAACCGCCGGCAAGACGCAGCCCATGTGAGCCCACGGCCGCCGCGCGAGCGGGCGGGGCGGGGCGGCGTGGAGAGCTGACGCTGAGCGCGGTCTGTCACGCATCAGTGGCGACTGCCAACCTCTGCTACCGACGTACTAGCACCGCACTCGAGTCCCCTCCTTCGGCGTGCCGGAATGGAATACGTGTGTCTGCCTTTCGCGCTATTGAAATCCATTCACAGCAGCGGTCCCCACGCCCCCGCCTGCTGTGCGGAGGCTCGCTTGGAGAAAAGCACTCTCGGTTTGGCCAAAGTACAGGTTTCGATCCCCGGGCCACCGCAAATTTTGATCAGCAAATTTCGAGGAGCGGCCGCAAATTTTGAGGTAGATTTTGATTGTCAAAACGTGTCCGTCTTGGCACAGGATAGAGCATATAGGCGGCGAACACCCAGGTGCGCAGGGACATCGCGACTCCATTCGTGGATAAAGCAGACACCAGACCTCGGTTTCCCATAGGGTTTCTGATGCGGTTTCCCATGGCGGTTTCCCATAGCCGAAAACCCACGGGTCGGTCGGTTTCTGCGGCGCGCTCTGTTTTTTCTGGGATCTGTTTTCTGGGACACCCGCCTCGATTTCCCGTGGGATCTGCCTGTGGGTCTGGTTTCTGCGGTGTGAATACATCTCCCGCTTCGTCCTAATGAGCTCATTCCGGCCAATGAACAGGTGACCACCATCCGAATTTTTTTCAAGTGGGAACAGCAAAAAGCGGCATGCATTCTGGACTGCGTTCTGGTTTCTGGTTTCTGCTCCGACTGGTGATGAGTGTTACAAGCTGAGGTTGTCAACGCCGGGTGAGGGTAAATCTCGGCACGGATCGGCACGTGTGGTAGCGTGCGATGAGGCCTTGCCAGCTCCTGGTGGTGCCCTCATACAAGATCGCCGCGCGCATTGGCCGCTCCGCCGACGTTGTGATGAGCTTATTTCTGTCTCCAACAGAGTAGATCCAAACACACTATTGATAGATGATAGGTACTTAAAACACTCGCACAACGCCCGCCTTTCACAGCTCAGCCTTTCAGGGCTTGGGCATGACAAGCAACGGCCCCGCCGGTCGGCGTCCGATGCACAAGGCAGCCATGTTGGCTGCCACGGCGTCTCCGCTCGGGATCGCGGCAGCCTGGCGGACCCCGTGAGCCACAAAAGTGCTTGGCAGCGCGGCGCGTCGCCAACCTCGCTTTCGAAGCAAAAACCAGAGGCCAGAAACCTAATGCCGGTGGGCTCATCTATCGCGATATTTCGATAAAACCCCTGCTATCGAAAAACCAGAAACCAGAAACCAGACCTACGCGTTCCCCCCAAGGGTTCCTCCCACCCAGAACATGCTGCTGTCTTAGTACTCCCGTTCGACCCATTCGGAATCCGATGAGTTAATGAGGGGTCATTCCGCCGGAATGACCCCTCCGGGGAGATCGTTCACACCTCGAAAAACCAGAACCCAGAGCGTCTGGACCGATATTCCCATGGCCCGGATGTTTTCTGTGGGATGTGGCGAAAAAGCAGAATACAGAGCTCCTCCTCCTAGAAGTCAGACGTTTTCTTGATAGCTGATATGCCAGGGAAGAGCCTGGTATCTCAGTATGTTATATCCTATGATATAACATAGTGGTGTCTGGTTTATCCATACCTCCGCGACTCTGCCCGCTCGCTCGACCCTTTTGCCGCGAGAGGGCGCCGGCCGCGTGTAAGAGGTGGCTGGCGCCCTGAGGCGGCATTTGGTGGCTGGGGAGTGCGGAGAACGCTACTGGCGGCGTGACAGGGCCTCTCTCGATTGCGTGTGCCGCCCATCGGCACGCGGGTGCGCAGACATCGCGACTCTGCCGCTCGCTCGACCCTTTTGCCGCGAGAGGGCGCCGGCCGCGTGTAAGAGGTGGCTGGCGGCCTGAGGCGGCATTTGGTGGCGTGGGGAGTGCGGAACGCTACTGGCGGCGCGACAGGGCCTCTCTCCGCTGCGTGCGCCGCCCATCGGCACGCGGGTGCGCAGACATCGCGACTCTGCCCGCTCGCTCGACTCTTTTGCCGCGAGAGGGCGCCGGACGCGAGCACGTGGAGCACTCGGAGGAGACGGAGTACTCCGAAGTTTGGGGCGCACCCACACACCCACACACCCACGTGGTAATCTTTTACAGTAGGCACAAGTTGGCACAGTACAATGGACTCTGAAGTTTGGGGCACACAACGCACACGCACAACGCACCCACACACCCAGGGGTCTCTACAATGCAACCTCCCAAGCAAGCTCCCAGACATCAAGTGGGAAAGGGGTTCTGCCAGCGAGCACCATGCAGTGGTCTGCGGCTGGGCCCTCATTCAACAGTCAGCGTGGCGCGTCGCCAGAGGGGAGCTTTTCTTCACCCCCTCGCATGCAGCAGGACAGTACGGGGCTCCCACGCGCCACGGTTGGGCCCAAGGCCAAGCGCAGGCCAGCAAGCGCGAGCAACAAAAACAGCACGCTCTATCTATACGGTTTATAATTATCTTACTGTGCCCACACGCGGCCTCAGAGAGAGGGCCAGTCCCCGAACCATGACCACCGACAACATCCATCCATCCACACCATCGTGCCACGACTTGCACGAAGCACTTACCCAATAAGTGCAAGGAAAGTCTGGCCCAGCCACCCATAAGTACTGTATCCTGAAACCGCTGGCTGGGCCTCACGTGACCTCCTCCGCCCCGTCAGAGCTGAGCAGCTGAGTAGCAGGGTCACACCAAAAAAAGTCACAGGCAGAGTCGCTGCAGCAAGGCCTTCTGCTCGCCGCCCACCGTGCCCGCCGAGTCCGACGACCGCACGGTGCTCTCCGCGCCGGCTCACCGTGCTCCACGCCGTGCGTGATCGGCAGGTACGACGGTGGTAAGACTCACACCGACCACCATGGGCGTCGTGCTCAGCAAGGTCTTCGAAAACCTCTCCTCTTGCCGCGAGGCCGCCGCTCCGGCGGCAGAGGCTGACGTCCCGATGGAGCAAGCGCTGAGCGATGCCGAGCTTTCATCAGATCACGAGCACGAGGAGCAGCCGCTGCTCCATGAGTAGCGGCTCCGCGACGACAGTCAACCAGACTCGTGCGCTCGTGAAATGGAAGACAAAGCAGCGGCAGGTCAAGACGCAGGGGCAGCTCGCGGCTGAAATCGGGTGGTCGCCTCCGCAGCTCTCCTTCTTCCTCAATGGGAAGGCATTTGGCGCCCTGCGTGCCTGCGTCTTCGCCTCCACATCCATTTCCAACAAAGCCAAAAAGGCGGTCTACGAGGCGATCGTTCTCTCGACCGTCCTCTACGGCTGCGAGACGTGGAGTTTGACCGAGGAGCTGACCGGCGGCTGCGCTGCATGCATGCCCATCACTTACGAGCAATGTGCCGGGTGTCGCGCAGCCAGGCGTGGGAGCATCACATCTCGACCCAAGAGCTGGGACAGCGGCTGGGGTTGGACTCCATCGAGTTCTACATCGCTCGCCGGCAGCTCCGGTGGCTTGGACACGTCAGCCGTATGCCTTACGAGACGAGGCTCCCTCGCCGCTTGCTCTCGGCGTGGGTGCCCCATCGCCGCCCGATAGGCTCGCCGTCCATGACGTACGGCCGCTCCATCTTCAAGGCGCTCGAGATGTTCCGCATCGACAAGACGCGCTGGCCCGAGCTCGCCGCGAACCGCAGCGCATGGCGCGAGACCTTGCGGACGGGCGTTGCCCCGCCTGCCTTTTGGCCGCCGGCTCCACCGCCGCAGGCCAAGCCCCTGTCGCGCACAAAGCTCCCCCGGAGCAGCGCGCAGCAGACCCAAGCCAATGAATGAGTCGCTCCGCCGGGAGCGTCTCTCATGACAACATACACATACATACATTCATTCATGACTCTCAGTCTACAGTCAGCGCTTTGATCCCAATCACGACACATGTGTGACTCGCCTAGTGTGGAGACGCCGTGTACCGTGGGGCCTTGTTGTCCTAGCACGGGAGTACCCGTGTGGACCGGAGGTAACAGCAGCAGCAGCAACCTGCGGAGGCACCCTCGACGCTGGCGAGGTACTTCAAGCCTGCTGTGAAAACAGCTGACGCAGTCTCGCCGCGGCTCGCCCCAGCATCTCGGGTTGACTCGGCCAGACTAAAACCCCGAGAGGCGTGGGAGTACCTCGCCAGCCTCGAAGTCAACGAGGCCCAACCCTGTGGCTCCTACTGCCTACAACTCGATGTTGCTGCTGTCGCTGCCTCTGTTTCCCTCCGGTTTCGTGCTCCTCAGCGGTGGGGCTCCTCGCTCCTCGCTGGCTCCGCCGCGCACCGGCGCGGCTCTCAGCATGCGCGACGACCAGGCGACCCGGGACGACGCGCCGGGCCAGTCCTTCGACAACGACATGAGCGGCTGGAAGCCGCCGGGAGGCGGCGGCGGCGGCGGCCACGGCCTGGGTGGCGACACCTCGAAGTTTACCACGACCGACTCGCCCGACTTTCTCCCCGAGGAAGGGAGCGAGGAGGCGAAGCTCGCGTCGGGCATCAGCTACACCGACGGGATGATGGGCAGCCAAGCGGACCCGAACCGGAAAAAGTCGACGGGTCCCGAGCTGGCTGGCGCGCTCGACTCGGACCCGGACATCTACGTGCCGGAGGTGGAGGAGGTGGTCGCCGACTCGAGCCTCTTTGTGCTGCCAGAGGCGTCTTGGAAGCTGTCCAAGATGGAGGCGCGCCTCCTCACCTGACCTCTTCTCGCACCCCTCCCTGCGTGCGCGCCCGTCGCCGGCCCACTCGCCGTCCCCGAGCCGCGCAGGTCTAACCCTAACCCTTACCCTAACCCTAACCCTAACCCTAACCCCGAGCCGCGCAGGTCTCTAACCCTAACCCTAACCCTAACCCTAACCCTACCCTAACCCGAGCCGCGCAGGTCTCGCAGACGGACGAGGACCTCGAGTTCAGCTGCTCGGCGACAGAGGGAGGCGCGATGAAGGCGCGCGGAGGCGCACTGCCTCGGCCACGCTGCTCGGAGAGGGCGAGGTCGCTCCGCCGCGTCGCAGGTTGACGTCAAGCCCGTCTGCATGACCTTCGAGGACTACTACTGCGGCTTCACCTCCGACTCGCACCCCGCCTTCTCCGTCTCGCCCGACGCCGGAAAGATGGAGCGGCGGAACGGCCCGCCCACGACCGTGACCGTGACCTGCAACCCGAAGGCGAGCCGCGACGCCCGCGGCCCGGCCGCTGCCCCGTACTCCCGCCCCCGCGACCCGCCCAACCGACCCGCCGCGACCGCAGGGCGCCTCCGGCGCGCTGGTCGGCTACCTCTGCTTCATCCTGCCCGAGGAGAGGGACTTTTCAACCTTTTACAAAGTCACGTGCAACTCGCGGTAGAGGCCGCTCCGCTCGACGGGCTCGTGCTAGGTCCCGGCCCCCGGAAGACAATGCTCATGCATGCATGGCCCTCGTAGGGGCTGCTATCTCTGCTCTTCCGCTCACGCGCAGAGAGCTCTGAGAGCCAGAGTACGTAGCTCTTTTTTGCCGTGTGATAGACCTTTTAAGTTTTATTTGAAGCATTTTAGAGCACACGAAGCAGGAGAAGCCCGCTGGGGCGTGGGGCACGGCTCAGCTTTGTACGGTTCACTGACTGTAAAAAAACCTCGGCGCACGTGTGAACGTCACATCGACGCCGCCTGCCCGCTGCCGTTCGCGTGCTGCGGCGCGGCGTCACCCGCGACCGTGCGACGGCGTCGAGAGTGCCGCGGGGTCGAGGTGGGCGAGGTACTGCACCGCGGCGCGCGCGATCGTGAAGGGCTCCCCCGCCTCCGGCGACCAGAGCTGGTGCGGGTCGACGAAGCGCGCGACGTACTCGAGGTTGGAGTGGAGGCGAGCTGGCCGCGCGCGCAAGATGGCGAGGGCGAGGAGCCGGACGAAGGAGCCGTCGCTGGGCGCGACGAGGGCAGACAGACGCGCGCACGCGCGCACCACCGCCTGCGGAGGTGGGCGGAGGGGGGCGGAGGGGGGCGGAGGGGGGCGGAGGGGGGCGGAGGGGGGCGGAGGTGGGCGGAGGGAGGCGGAGGGAGGCGGCGAGTCCGGTCTGGGTGATGTCTAGCGGAGCTGCGGGGGCCGCACCCCCATCTTGTCGGCCGGCGCGGCGAGAGAGTTGATGCCGCCCAGCTCGCCGAGAGCCGCCTCCCAGTCCGGGCCGACCGCCTATTGTCCGTGCGGCGGCGACCGCCTCGCGAATGGTACTTGGTGCTGGCTAATGATGAGCCGTCCCCGCCGCCTGCGACTCGTCGATCCCGACGTGCGCGCCGCCGATGAAGGCGAGGGTGTCGAGCTGCGCGGAGAGCACCTGGAGGGACGGCCTCGCGTCTCGAGCGAGGGGACGGGCTGCGGGGCTGCAGGCTGGCGGCGAGGCTCGCGCCTTGTCCTCGACTGCGTCTGCGCCGGTGGCGAAGACCTGCGGGCGAGGAGGGAGCGCCACAGTCGCCTCAGCTCCGGCACAACCTCCTCGGGCTGTCTCTCCGGCTACCCTCTCTACCTCCCCCTCGGCACACGTCTCGGCCGCACCTTTGGGAGGAGGAGCCCCATCACGTACCGCTCGAGCCCCTCGTGCAGCGCCGCCGCCGGCCACCCCGCCGGCCAGAGAGCCGCCGCCTGCGAGGAGGGGAGGGTATGGGTTAGGGTTAGAGGACTCGCGGACACACCTGCACGGCCCCCTTGCTCGAGAGGGGGGGGGGGGGGGGGGAATGCGGACCTCCTCCTCGAGCGAAGCCAAGAGCGCGCGCACCGCCTCGCCGTCGGCACTGCCGCCCGCCGGCTCAAACGACTCTGCGAAGCCAAGCGCGCGCCGCACGAGCGGCTCCGCCTGGCGGGGGGGTTCCAGGGGGCTATCAGCAGGAGTGCGCCCGTCCTCCCTGAGAAGGGCTCGGTGTGCACCTCGGCTAATGGGCTACTCATGAGCTACTCATGAGCTACTCATGAGCTACTCATGAGCCACTCATTCTCGGTGTGCGCCTCGGCGAGCGAGAGGAAAGAGCCGCACAAGTCCCCCCCCGCCTGCCCGCCCGCGCCGCCGCCCTGCAAGCCGGAGCCCATCCCCCCCCCGTGCGCGTCGGCGTGTGCAGCGCGGGGCGAATCGTCGTCCTCGCTGCAGAGGAAGGCAGGCTCGGCGCCGCCGCTCCCGTCGTGCCGCGGCTCGAGAGGAGGCACCACAGACGCCGGCACCGCGCACGCCCCGCTGCCGGCACTCCCGCTGCAGTCGGGCGCCTCCGCCGCCGCCGACCTGCCGAACCGCGCGTCGGGGGCGGGAGAGCGCGCGGCTGACGTCCGCTCGGAGCCGCTGCTGCAGCTGCCAGCGGGAGCGGCGACGGACGCGGTGACCGCGGCCGCCAGAGCGGCAGCGACGGAGGGAGCTGCGGCCGCCGAGGGAGAGGAAGGAGACGGCTCTCCGCCCGCCGGCTCGACAGGCGGCAACGGCGGCGCGCCGAGCGGCGGCGGCGCGCCGAGCGAGCCCCGCGCGAGGTCGAGCTGCGCCTGGACGCGCCTCTTCTCGGCCCACGCCTGTGCGAGCCCCACCCGCAGGTCCGCCTACCGCACAACAGAAGCGCCTCACAGCTGGCTCGCGCCGCGCCACACAAGCGAGCGGCGCGTCCTCGCCAGCTCTGCGTCGGCGGCGGCGCGCATCTCCGCCTCCTATTGGACGTGTCACGGACGAGTGCTCGGACGCGTCGCCGACAGACCGCCGGCCGCGCATCTCCGGCTCCCTCGCTGCAGCCGCCTCGGCGGCGGACTGACTCGCCGCCACCGCCGCAGCCAGCTGGCCACGCACCGCGGCGAGCGAGGCCACCGCGTCGGCGCGTCGCGCCTCGGCCTCGTCCGCCACCGCCAGCACCTCGGACGCCTGCCCCGTCGCGGCGTCGGCTCGGTCGCTCTCGGCGCGAGTCGTGGCGTGGGCTGCGGCGACGGCGGCCCGCGCCTGGGAAGAGAGGGGGCTGGGAGGCTGTGCTGGTGGCGGGTTGGAGGGTGGTGGCGGTGGTTGCGGCGGCGGCGGCGGCGGCGGCGGCGGCGGCGGCGGCGGCGGCGGCGGCGGTGCCACCGCAGTTAGGCTGTGCGAGGCAGGCAGTGTGGCCGCCGCAGCCTGGCCGTGTGCCGTGGCGGTGCCGCAGCCAGGTTAGGGTGAGGCTGCTGTGGTGAGGCGGCTGTGGCGATGCCGCAGGCAGTGTGTGAGGAAGTGTGTGCGCGCAGCCGCCCCGCGCCTCGGAGAGCTGAAGCCACAGCGCCTGCGAGTGGGCGGCGTGGTCGTCGAGCAGGGCCGCCTGCCGCGCCAGCTGCGCCTGCACGGAGGCCGGCACGGCGAGGCCCTGCACCGACTCGAGCGAGGTGGAGAGGGCGCTCGTCAGCGCATCCCGCGCGTGCAGCACCCGCGCCGCCCACTCGCGCCCTTTCTGGTACGACCCCACGCCCTCGCTCCCGCCACCGCCGGCAGAGTGGGCGCTGCTGCAGCCGCTGCTGCTCGCCACGCTGCCAGGGCAGGCTCCGGCGCCGGAGGAGAAGCGGCCGAGCGGCTCACCGTTGGCGAGAAGGCGCTCCCGCGCCTCCGCGCCAGCGCGGCGGACGGACTCCTTCAGACCGTCCAGGTCCCGCGTGAGGACCTTGATTTGCGCGAGCAGCGCACCGCGCTCGCGCTGCATCGAGGCGCGCTCCTCCTGCATGGTCGCCTCGCGCCGCTCAGACTCCTCCTTTAGCGCGCGGTAGGCGCGCTTGAGCAAAGTGAGCTTCTCCTCGCTCGTGGTTTGCGCCGGCTCGTCGAGGGATGAGGACATGAGGGCTTGGCGAGGTGGCGGACCGGGCGGCCGACGCTTCCTGACCGCCAGTCGGCAAAAAGAATTTTCTCTCGGCGCGATCAAGATAGACAACGCAAATCTAGATCTAGACGCCTAGACCGGACGCGGAACCATCCACATCATCACTGGCTCGCGGCAGTAAGGGCACTCTTGCATCAGCTCAGAGCACGGCCCACAAGCGCACAAGTGCCCGCACGGAACCGCAGCATGCGACTTGAGAGAGAGATTTTTAGCAATACCAAGTTTTTGTTGTTGCGACTTGACTCTCGCGAAACACACGATACACGTGGTCTCTCCCCCCCGTGCAAGCCCCACCCGGGTGGCGGGTGGACCAAGGGGCGTTCCGCCCTGCTTGCTCTAGGTGAAACGTCTGAAGGACGAAGAAGCACGAAGGTGCGACCAACTCAGCACGACGGGCGGAGAAGACGGGCACTAAACCAGGAAGGACTGGGAGAGTGTGAATGGAGGGACACGTGTGGTTCAGACGTCCCCCCCCTCGACGTAGTCGAGTCACTCACATGGATAGAGAGGAGAGTGTCCCTCTCGACGGGGCATGGACTGGATGACATGCACTGGAGAGTCTATGGCTCTCGCGAGTGGGGGCGGGGCGGCACTGTTCGCGCTCGCGGCCGGCGCCCGCGCTCCGTCTCGGTGACGGATCGGTGACGGAGATTCACTTCCCATCCGACTGGGAGGAAGGCTCCTTGACATTCATGATCTTGTCCCGCAGCTCGAAGAAGCGCTGGGGTTTGAGCGGCTTCGTGAAGAAGTCGGCAAGGTTCTCGTCGCTGCGGACGAAAGGAATTGGGAGGATCGGCGGGCTGGCCCCCGCGGCCCCCGCCCCGGGAGCGGCCCTGCTTGCCGCCCTTGCCCTTGTCGGCAGCCTTCCTCGCCTCCTTTTTGGCCTCCCTCTCAGTCCACCAGGAGTCGTGCCCCGCAGCGCGAGCCTCCTTTTTGAGAGCGGTGATGGCCTCCGGGGTAAGCCCCTTGAGCTCAGGGCACTCGTCGTAATAGTGCTGGAAGGTGCCCTTACCCTTGAGTAGGCAGATGGAGCAGTCGCGCGACGCGGGGCGTCGGGCCGGGGGAGCACCGCCGGTGGTGTCGGCGCCCGCAGTCTCCCGCGGCGTCCGCCGTCGTTGGGCAGAAGCGAAGGAAGCGGTAAGCAGCTCCACAATCTTGGCAACTCGGGGGTCCTCGTCATCGTCGCCGGCCTTGTCGGCCCCACGGCCAGTGCTAGCGGCGGCGGCGGCGCGCGCGACGGGGCCAGCGCCCCGGGCATTAGCGCAAAGCGTGATGCCGTCCCGATCGTACCGGCGGCAGACCTCGACGATGGCGCTGAGCAGGGACCGGCACTCGGAATCAGCGGTGTCGGCGTCCTCATTGGCGTTGCCGACCCCCTCAAGAACCTCGGCCTCACCCATGTCCGTGATGACGGCGCTGCGCATCGCGCAGACGATGGCGTTCAGCGCGGCGTCGACGTCGGATCGGAAAGACGCACTGGTCAGCTCGGAGAGGAACTTGTGGAGGAGCGCAGTAAGCTGTGTGGGATTGAGCCGCTCGTCCTCGAGCCAATCGTTGGCCCGGGTGAGGCGGAGGTAACGCCGCCGAAAGTCGGAGTGGATCCGTCCACTCTGGGTGCCAAAACCAGCAGCTAGAAAAGGCTTGACGCCGACAGTCTCGAGGACGATCTTCTGGAGCTTCGGCCGAACTCCAGCAATGGTGGAGCGGATTGCAGCCAAAAGGGCAACGGAAGTGCCACCAGCGCCACTGATCTTGTCGGCCTTTTCGCGGTAGATGGCCCGCAGTGCGTCGTCGGAAAAGAAGGCCTTGAGAAGCGCCTCGGTGACAAGGTTGTCGATCCGCTTGATGACGCGTTGGGAGACGACGATCTCGGCCACAACCGCAGCCTGTCTCTCAGAGACCGTCTTGTGGACAGTTCCGACCTGCGCAAAATCATCGGCGGTGGGTGACTGACTGTCATCGGCGACGAACTCGAGCAAGTTGGCAAAGTCACGCGTCTTGAGCAGCTTCAGCTCGTAGCGCGCGCAGCGCACCGCATCGTGTTGGGTGCAGCAAACAGTGGGCGCAATGTTGTCTATGTAGACAGCGCCATTCGTAATGAGGAAGAACCCGATGCCGTCGTTGTGATGCAGTCGGCTCCACTCGAGAAGAGTGGCTAGGTTCGCCGCAAGCCCGTCGAGGGCGGCGGCACGGACGAAACTGCATTCTGTCACCATTGCATCAGCTTCTTGTTTAGCGCCATGTAGGAGATCCCGAATTTCGGAATACTCCAAGGCTTTGGTGGGCGTGTCAGGCATGGCCTGAGCAGTGGATAGCGTGTCGGGCTTCACAAAGGGGCTGACGCGACCAGTCGAGTCGCTGCCACGTGCAAGCCCCACCCGGGTGGCGGGTGGACCAAGGGGCGTTCCGCCCTGCTTGCTCTAGGTGAAACGTCTGAAGGACGAAGAAGCACGAAGGTGCGACCAACTCAGCACGACGGGCGGAGAAGACGGGCACTAAACCAGGAAGGACTGGGAGAGTGTGAATGGAGGGACACGTGTGGTTCAGACGCCCCCATCGTGGACTCAGGGGCAGCCTGCCGCCCCGTGTCGAGGCAGGCGTCGGCTGTGAGACGGCAGCAAGCGGCTCAGTGACTGGCAGATGCTGCTCCGCCGCCTCTCTCGCCTCCGGCTCGATCAAGCGCTCGATGGCGCCGACCCGCTCCTCGAGGCTACCCTCGGTCGCCGCGACGAGGCTCGCCTCCAGCCGCTCGACACGCCGCACCAAGTCCCCGCCGCCGCCGGTCGACTCGCTGCTCACCGCCTCCTCGCACCGCGACACCCGACGCGCCAGCGCCTCCTCGGCATCCACCTCTGACCGGCGCAGCGCCTCTGCCAGCTCCGCATCCTCGCGCAGCGCCGCCCGCTCTGCCGCACCCGCTAGCTCTGCCGCCTCCCGCTCCGCCCGCCTCGCTGCCTCCTGCTCAGCAGCCAGCTGTGGTGGATTAGTGTGCTAGGGTTTTTCGAATTCTTTTTATCGCCGGCTGGCGTAATTTTTTTTGTGATTTGCGGCCCAACATTACACACATGGCCAGGCAAGTGAGCTTGGGCGCGGCAGCGGCAGCTGTGGACGCGCCGCTGCTCGGCCAGCGAGTCGTGCTCGGCGGGCTCTCTTCCCGCCCCGAGCTGAACGGGCAGCGGGGCGTGGCGCAGAGCTTCGAGGGCGGGCGGTACGCTGTGGCGCTCGAGGGCGGCGGCGAGAGCGTGCGGGTGCGGCCGGGTAATCTGTCGCCGGCTGCGGCGGAGCGGGCGTTGAGCGGTGTCGTGGCAGCCCCCGATGCGGTCATCGCAGCGGCTCATCGAGGCGAGGAGGCGGCGGTGCTGGCGTGGCTCGAGGGCGGGGGGCGGGCCGACGCGACGTACGAGAGAGGCGGAAGCCGCCTCACGCTGCTGATGGGCGCCGCCCGCTACGGCCACGAGCGGATGGTCGAGCTGCTGCTGCGGCACGGTGCGGAGATCAACCTGCAGGACAGCGACGGCGACACCGCGCTGATGTACGCCGCAATCGGAGGCCATGAGCGGGTGGTCGAGCTGCTGCTGCGGCACGGCGCGGAGATCAACCAACAAGACAGCAAACGCGGCACCGCGCTGATGCGCGCGGCCGACAGAGGCCACGAGCGGGTGGTCGACTTGCTGATTCGGCACGGCGCGGAGATCAACCTGCAGAGGAGCGACGGCGGTACCGCGCTGATGGCCGCCGCCTTCTTCGGCCACCCCGCCGTCGTGCGGTGCTTGCTGCGGGCGGGCGCAGACACGACGCCTACCTTTGACGGCAAGACGGCGCTGCAGCTGGCCAAGGAGAAGGGCCACGCCGAGTGCGTAAAGGTCTTGTCTAAGGCGGCGGCGGCTGCAGACGGCCGGGCAGGGGCGGGCGGCGCTTCCTCGGGCGCGGCAGCGGCAGCTGTGGACGCGCCGCTGCTCGGCCAGCGAGTCGTGCTCGGCGGGCTCTCTTCCCGCCCCGAGCTGAACGGGCAGCGGGGCGTGGCGCAGAGCTTCGAGGGCGGGCGGTACGCTGTGGCGCTCGAGGGCGGCGGCGAGAGCGTGCGGGTGCGGCCGGGTAATCTGTCGCCGGCTGCGGCGGAGCGGGCGTTGAGCGGTGTCGTGGCAGCCCCCGATGCGGTCATCGCAGCAGCAGAGCGTGGCGAGGAGGAGGCGGTGCTGGCGTGGCTTGAGGGCGGGGGGCGGGCCGACGCGACGTACGAGAGACACGGCGTGAGCGGCCTCACGCTGCTGATGGGCGCCGCTCAGCACGGCCACGAGCGGATGGTCGAGCTGCTGCTGCAGCACGGCGCGAAGTTCGACCTGCAGGACAGCAACGGTTTGACCGCCCTGATGATCGCCACCTTCCAAGGCCACGAGCGGGTGGTCGAGCTGCTGATACGGCACGGCGCTGAGGTCAACCTGCAGGACAGCAAAGGCGTCACCGCGCTGATGACCGCCGCCCTCTTGAACCGCCCCGCCGTCGTGCGGCGCTTGCTGCGGGCGGGCGCAGCCACGGCGGTGCGCACCACGAGCGGCGAGACGGCGCCGCAGCTGGCCAAGGCGAAGGGTCACGCCGAGTGCGTCGAGGCCTTCAAGAATCACGTCCAGGAGGTGGTGGCGGGACGGCCCACGGCGACGGCAGCCGGCGGCGAAGGCGCAGGCGGCGCTTCCTCCGGCGGCGCTTCCTCGGCTGGATCGAGAGTCGCGAAGACGCCATCTCCAGCGGCGGCGGCGAAGCGGGCGCCGAGCGGTGCCGCGGCAGTCTCCGATGCGGTCGTGGCAGCTGCTGAGCGTGGCGAGGAGGAGGCGGTGCTGGCGTGGCTCGAGGGCGGCGGGCGGGCCGACGCGACGTACGAGAGAGACGGCAAGAGCGGCATCACGCTACTGATGGGCGCCGCCGTGGAAGGCCACGAGCGGGTGGTCGAGCTGCTGATTCGGCACGGCGCGGAGATCAACCTGCAGAACAGC